TAACAGTGAATCCAAATGACATTTTTCTAAATACTACATATGAACGTCAGCAATATGTTATGGGAGATAATCTTTCTTTCCATCAACTACTCCTCGCCTATCCCAAAATCTGGCCTCTTTGGCTCAATGGTCCATGAAACGACTAAAGCCAATTTAGCTAACAACTCTTTAAGGCAAGATTCATACAGTACTCAAAAGTTTAAAGTTTGTGCTGTTAGTAATAATGTATCTTGACACGTATATACCACTCACTTATGCACTTTCTATACAATGTGAAATTCAAGACTTTCTATCCAATGTGGAATTCAAGGCATCGCAGTCTATCCTCAAGGCTTATCAGTTTGGTGACTTCCAAACCCCGGGTTTATAAAGAGGAACACTGTTCGTCCCATAAGAAGCCCGATTTCTTATCAAACAAATCATTGCTTTTTATGAAGGCCATTTTCTTAAAAAAACGGTAAAACCATTTCACACACATAGAAACGCCTGCATTATCCTGTATTCTAACTGTCAATTGATACCTTCTTTCCAATTTTTGGGGCTGTATTGGGTTGGTTAAATGTCAGGCCAAATGCTATTCCCTAAGAAATCAAACTTAGAATAAGCCCCCTTGTCCATTAAGTCATAATTTTAACTACTCCAATTATTCATGTTGGATGAAATTTTGGTCCAATTATTCATTGTTCATTTTCTACTCCAATTTTTCAAGACATTGATATTCATTTCTTTTAATTTTGTACCCAAAAACATTCTTCAATTTTCTGGCCCATTGTTTCAAGGAGATGAAATTAAGAGGTGTTATATTCATTTTTTTTTAAAAAAAATCCAAATTCTCAATACAAAAATGTGACTTTCCATTGAATATGATAACAGGGAGAAAAACTGGAATAATGGAAAGGGAAAATGTATCCTTTGCCATGATGTCTAGTTAAAAATAAAAATACAAATAAAACAATCTACTATAGAAATAAGATTGAAAAAATTATTTGCAATTAACTTATAATTTCTTCAAACTTATCAAGAAGCAGAAAACAAAGAAGAATTGTAGAAGAAACTAACGTCAGCTGTCTGGAAAAACCCTACAAGAAACTCTCTATGTTAAGTTCCAAGAAGGAGCACGGATCGGGGATGTCAAAATTGTTCAAGACCTAAAACACCACATCAAAAAACAATCCATCGAAAATCAATATGTCAATATCCAAATTATAGAAAGAAAAACTATGTCACCCTATACAGTAACCTTATTAGGCCCTCATATTAACAAGAAACATGAAGCAAAAGGATGAGAAATTAAACATTAGGATTACCAATTAATAATCTTTAAGATACATAATTATCTCCTGTAAAAAAGAAACATTTCTGGAAAGAACAGTACCTCTGGATGCACAATCCCAAAGGTACCAATGCGCCTTCCTTTGTAAACAATGCTGGCTTGTCTGCCGGCTAGAAATTCAGGTTCCTTCAGTAAATTAACATCATAAGTACATAGTGACCAAATACTACATGTAGCTTATGTAATCAGCAATAAAATTACAAACCAGTTCCAGCCATCCCACAAAAAAAAAAAAAAAAAAAAAAAAAGAGGAAAAAGAGTTAAAAGCAGCACTTACTTCTGAACACTGAATGAAATACCCTGTATTATCACCAACAGGGACAAAAGGGGAGCCCATGATTTCCATAACTCGGTCAAGGAGTCCATGAATTAGCTGTAGAAGAAAGGGAAGTTTAGAATGTCTTCTTTTCATTGGAGAGTGCTTGAACTTAAAATAATATGTTTTAACCATATAAAATAGTGAAGTTTTGGACGCTATTTAACCCTATTATTCAATAACATGGATTTGATTAAAGAATATCAATATCTTGACATAAAGTTAGAAGAAAGAATATCAATGTCTTGGTAATTGCAAAAATAATATATTTTCCCTTTAGTATATATTGAAAAAAATATAACTTATGCACTTAAACTAAGGGACTTTGTAATGGTATTAGTCAAGCCTACTACTTTAACTGTTAAATTAATTAATCATCCAAAGAGATAATCAGTATAGATATTAAATTTACTGAATTTTGTTCTCTCCCTAAACTTCTAATTAGGTTTTAGATTAAAAACATAAGACATATACATTACATTATTTTACTGAATATATCCTAACTATGATATCCTATTTCTTTTAGAAAATTTATCTTGGTGTATCTATTGTATCTGAAACCCATGTTCTGTGACCATTCTATGCTATTCTTCATAGGATGAACTTAAGGCTGAATGCAAATATTTATGGCTATGACAAATATTCAGCACCAAATTTCATTGAAGATGATTATGATCATATTAAGTTGGCTAGTTAAATACTATCACAACAAATGATGCATAAGAAAATGCACCTCAAAACCTGAGTTAGCACCACAATACAAGGCACCAAGAAGGCGACAGTTAGATGCACCAACATCTTTGTTCTCATCCAAAAGTACCACATCACCCACTTCAAAAATCTGGAATCAATAAAAGAATGAGAAGAAGACTGCAATAGTTGAGAAATAAGAGGAAGCAGGAGGAAGAACATATACATGTTAAATGTATAATATTCCACAGTGATATGAAAGCAAGAGAACATTGCAATTTGAGACAACAATTCTATCCTATAATAATATATAGATTAAAGTAACAGTAATCTCTATGTGGTTAACCAATCTCCACCATAAACAAAACAAAATAAATTAAAAAACATTCGATTATATAATAAAATGAGC